TTACATTTAATTTTTTAATGTTATTACTGCTCCATAAACCTTAAAAGGCAGTCGGGACATTCAGGGCTTCGCCCTGATACGAGCAGTCTTGTGATAATTTATAAACAGACAAGAGGTTTTAACAACGTGGTATGCAATTTTCTGGAGTTCCCTCTACATTTACTGCAAGTAAAATTTCAGTCCTTTGCTGGAAAGATCTCCAATTATCTCGAAAAAAAAATTCTCGTACCATTCATCCAATTAATGAGTTTAAAATTGTTGTTGGCTTCCTCTTGTCATTAGATATCATAAGATAGTTAAGTGTTTATGTACTAAAAATCAAGATTGTTGCAAACTATTTGTCATCTTGAGAAGATTGTGATTTAGGTTTTGCTCTTCTACGTCACATTCGGTGCTTTCAGTGAAGGTAAGGTCTCGGTTAAAAATTTACTTTTAAAGTCGTAGTTTCACCTTTGGTTAGGAAAATTTCAAATCATTTTGTCTTCTCCGGCGGATATAATAGATCAAAAAACATCTGGGATAATTTCGTGTCTCTCAAGAGTGGTATATTTCTTCTTTTAAACAATCGAAGATCTTCTTTTGCGCTGTAGTGTTGCATCAGGTAGCTGAAAATAATTTCTCAAGGTAGCTCCGAACATTTTGATCATCACACGTACATGTGTCTGACCGCGGTGTTTCGGCGTTCTGATGGAACCCATATGATCCTTTTTAATTTTTTTAATTTTGAGAACAACTCTTTTATTTACTTTCAAATTTTTTTGCAGTAGTTTATCTATAATCAGTTGTACTAATGGAACAATTTCGTGTGGTATAGCCAAACAGTAACAAATCAAACTTGAGAAAGAATTACTTTTTTGGCAGAATAACAAAGTTACCAGTCCCATGGGAGGACCTGAGTCATTTACTCCAGTTAGCCAATTTTGTCAAAAAAGTATCAACATGGACAATATATATCAAATTCTGTGGAACAATATCACCACTTGGACAAAATTCATCAAAGTTAACGTACTCATATTGCTATTCACAGAATCCTGCCGACCCGATTGTTTAAAAGAAGAAATATATCACTTTTGAGAGACACGAGCTTTTGTAAGGAAAAAAAATAAGAATTTTCCGGAGCAACTCTGGGACGAAAATTTAGCTTTTGCATGCAAATTTTTCACAAAGCAGATCAATTGTTCTTTTTAATTAATTTTGTCCGCCCGAACTTTTTGCTTCTAATTATAATTAGTTACCAGCTTTGTCCAATTTGGCCTTGATGAGTTGCATGGTGTCTCTGATCTGATTCCTCTGCTCCTGCGCCTGCCTAACAACACTAGGAGATGCTCTCAGCTCCTCCGCTTCATCCAACATCATCGACACCCTGTCTTCTTTACTCTCAAGGTCACCTATCGCTTGCTGTGAACAAAATTTCAAAATCAATTTTCAAAAACAAATTTTCAAGGTCAGTTTTCATGAACAAATTTTCGAGGTCACTTTTTTTAGAGCAAATTTTCAAGGTCAATTTTCAAGAGCAAATTTTCAAGGTCAGTTTTCAAGAACAAATTTTCATGATCACCTATCTCTGGTTGTGAACAAGTCCACAGAACGAGTGAATAAGTTTGAATTTTTTTTACTGCGAAGTTTTACGAAATCATTTTTTTGTTGGCCTAAACTTTTTTGACGGCATTTTTGACCTGTTTTTTCAAAAAATTTGGTCAAAATGAGTTCTTTGTAGTGTCCTGGGAGAGCTCGGAAAATCAATATGGCCGACTTAAAAAGACCTAGATTCGCCCCTGATGCAGTGTAAGTTTTCCTTGTCCAAAAAGATGAAGAAAGGAGATGAATTGATGATCGCATTATAGGTATAGAATACTACAATGACCTGCTTTTTCATCATTTTTTCTCGAACTTACACCGAATAAAAATTCAATATGAGAGCTCGAAGTTCAAAGTTTTTTGTTTAGCTTTTAAAACTAACCTGCAGTTGAGGAACGAGTTCATCAAAGCAAGGTTTGACCTTTGACCCTTCCTTAGTCGCAGCTCTCTGTGCCTCCAAATAGTTATTTAAATTATCAAGGACAGCTTGACTCTCAATAAGTTCACTTTGCAGACTTTTCTGCGCATCGACAGCCTTTTTGGGGAGTTTAAATCTATTATTTTCACAAATGATTTCGTGTAGTGTTTTTTGTTCCGATTTTTGATACAAAAGTAACGGAATATTCGTGCTCGGGGTGGGTTTTTTTTCTTCAGACAAATTTCGACTTTTTAACTAGCCCTTTTTGACGGAATTTTTTTTACATCGTTCGAAAGCTATTGTTGTCCTGAGCTTAAATTTGAAAAGTTATTTTACCTGTGATCATTTTTCATAAAGTTATGAGGGTTTAAAGATTGCCATTTTGGCCAATTTGGGACAATTAACGCGCGATATAATTTGGCTATTAACGCGTAAGCGGAGAGTTATTCCGTCTAAGAAATCGTTCCAAATTGGTTAAAAGAAGCTTATTTGCCATAATTGGTTTGTTACAAGGAGCGAAATTTATACTTTTGTACTTTATATGGCGTGTGGGTGGATGATTCTCATAAAAAATTTCAAATTTTTAAAATTTTTTTTTTCATTTTGTTTTATTTCAATGAAACTTTTAATGTTATTACTGCTCCATAAACCTTAAAAGGCAGTCGGAACATTCAGGGCTTTGCCCTGATACGAGCAGTCTTGTTATTTCTCTACACTGTTTAAATTTGCATTTCAAGCTTCCGCAGGAATAATGACATCTTGTTTATTTATTGTTCCGAATTTCGATACGAAAGTAACGGAATATTTGTGCTCGGGGTGGGTTTTTTTTTCTTCAGACAAATTTCTACTTTTTAACTAGCTATTTTTGACGGAATTTTTTTATATCATTCGAAAGGTATTGTTGTCATGAGCTCAAATTTGAAAAAATATTTCACCTGTGATCATTTTTCGTAAAGTTATAGGGGTTTAAAGATTGCCATTTTGGCCAATTTGGGACAATCATATAATTCGCGCTATTAACGCGTAGTCAGTTTTCAAGAACAAATTTTCATGATCACCTATCTCTGGCTGTGAACAAGTCCACAGAACGAGTGAATAAGTTTGAATTTTTTTTACTGCGAAGTTTTACGAAATCATTTTTTTGTTGGCCTAAACTTTTTTGACGGCATTTTTGACCTGTTTTTTTCAAAAAATTTGGTCAAAATGAGTTCTTTGTAGTGTCCTGGGAGAGCTCGGAAAATCAATATGGCCGACTTAAAAAGACCTAGATTCGCCCCTGATGCAGTGTAAGTTTTCCTTGTCCAAAAAGATGAAGAAAGGAGATGAATTGATGATCGCATTATAGGCATAGAATACTACAATGACCTGCTTTTTCATCATTTTTTCTCGAACTTACACCGAATAAAAATTCAATATGAGAGCTCGAAGTTCAAAGTTTTTTGTTTAGCTTTTAAAACTAACCTGCAGTTGAGGAACGAGTTCATCAAAGCAAGGTTTGACCTTTGACCCTTCCTTAGTCGCAGCTCTCTGTGCCTCCAAATAGTTATTTAAATTATCAAGGACAGCTTGACTCTCAATAAGTTCACTTTGCAGACTTTTCTGCGCATCGACAGCCTTTTTAAACCCACTCGTTTTGCTTTCCAAACTTCGGATTTGTTCGTCTAGAGATTTTTTGAGGGTTTCAGTTTCTCGTTTTGTGTCAATGGTGGTTTCTGTGTTGAGATAAGAGCCGGCGGTTTGGAGGATGGAAAACTTGCTTCTCATCGCTTTTAGGTCGGCTAGTTTTTCCTGGAACATTTCCATTTTTTCACCATTTAAAAACTAAGTCTGTTTTTTAGCTAAAAAATATGAAGTAATAACGAAACAAAATTTTGAAATCTACATACTCTGAATCTATTTTTCATCTTAAAAATTTGAAGAAGCAACATAAAAAAACATTTGAATTAAAAAAAAGATTTTTGAATTGATTGAATCATTAAAAAGAGGCCCAAAAATTTATTTTTATCAATAATTTCCTGCAAATATTTGGATTTTTTCGCTTTTATCTGTTTTCAACTGTTAAAGAACAAAGACTAACATGCATGCTTTCGAGATGTTTCTCCGTCGAAGCTTCAATATTTTCACCTCTCGTAGTATTCTGTTCACAATGCTGAACAGCTGTTAAAATTTGTGTTCTCTTTTCCTCGTATATTTTCCAATCTTTTGACAACTTCTTCAATGAAGTTTCTCGTTGAGCAAGAGAATCCTTGACTCGTTTGAGCAACGCTTGAGCTCTTTTGTGATTGGCTGACAGTTTACTTGGCGTGCGATTGGATCGCATTAGCATTTCTGCTTCTGCCATTACGTTTGAGACTTCATTAGCAATTGCGCTCTTTTTGAGCTCCTGGAAAAAAAAACTGGAAAGAAATAAGTCAAGAACAAAGTTAATTCAACAGAAATTATCTTTTGATTTATTTGATGTACAGTTTTTTTAATTATGAGATTCTTCATATTGAGAAAAATAGATAAAAAAATGAAGAGGCCTTGCTGGGGATCGAACCACAGATTGCAACCTACAGCTATTTTTTGTTGAGCAACTTCAACTTCCTGCTGTGATTTGAATTTAGAAGTGTCAATCAGCGAAGTGATAATGGACTCCAGTTCTACACAGGATTGTTCGAGGTCTTCGCTGCAGTCGAAGGCGTCTCTCAACTTTTCTATTCTCTCGCTGATGGCCGGAAGCGCATTTGCTAATTTGGACACACTAAAAAAAAGAAAGCAAATTCAATGCCAAGTCGAAATTTAAGCAAATTAACAATAAAAAGCCAGAAATTTTGAAAAGAGTTTTCCTTGCTCTTTGAAAAATTGGTAGGTTTTGAACAAATCTTCGTAATACAATATGAAAACAGGCTAAAATTCAAAAAAATTGCCTTTTTTGAGGAAAAAAGTTGCAAGAGGACGATGTTGTCATCAAAAAATAATGTAAACACCGAAACAAAAATTCAAAAAAGTTGTTTAAAATTGTTTACTTGTGGTTGAGCCGGATGAGTTTATTGTCCTCTCGTTTGAACTTATCCTCCGACATCCACTGTCTTAGCGCCTGCAATATCTCATTCATTGCATGCAATTCCGCCTGCACGCGTGCAATCTTTTCCTGGTGAGACTGCAGCTGACCAGCCAAATTTTCGAAGCCCTCTTGCGAACTGTTAGAGAATGTCTCGTCTTGTATGCATGTTACGTAACTCGAGCAACTGTCCACTATGGATTGTATTTTTTCGAACCTAAAATTAATTAATCATAAAATAAACAGGAAAAATGCAACTTAAAAATAAACTTAATTATGTAGGCATTCATCTACGTAGCTATTTTTTCATTTCAGTCTTTTAACACAGAGGCAAATTTAAGCGAAGATGAAAAGAGCAGAAATCGCAATCAACGGCGTTGAAAAAGCATTCAGTAAGATTAAACAAGCGGTCACTTAATTAAAAGTACTTCGGTTAATTTATTGTTTTCAAAAAAAAACTCGGATCAATTGAGCAGTCTCCCCCACCCCGCAAAAGCCGCAAAACACTCTTAAAGACCTTTTTAAACTCGAGCAGATGATTGAAATGTATGTAGGTCGTAATCAATTTGCCGACTTTTTAATACGAGTGTCGAGAAAACAGTTTTTGAAAAAAAATTTAAACACTTTTTCATTTTTTCCATTTTTTTTCTTTAGAAGAGCATTGCTTTGAGGTAAACAGTTTACCAGGGTTAGTTCTTTGACATCTTTTTTGGCCACAAAAAGTTACACAATTCTAGTAATATATGCAATTGCACATTTTTCTTCAAACAAATCAGTAGAAAGCCGTTTTAAATTCTTTTTTTGGCGTAATTATTTCTCTCGCTAACTTAGCCGTATGAAAAACATAATCTACTAGTAAATGGTTTGATTGAGTGAGAGCGTTAACGTTTTCAATTTTTTTCCTGAAAAAGATAATTCTTTAAAAACGATTTTGAAGACCGGAAGTTTTATTTAATTTACACTTGTACGTGTTTTTGTCCGCAGTTAGACTTTGTTGTATAGTGGAATGAGCATAAAGTTTGTCAAACGCTAAAAGCTGAATGGTACAGACTTTTTCTATCCTTAAACAGACTTTCAAAAAACACCAAAAAAGTTTGGCAACCCTTTAAATATTTTTTTTATTCGAGTGTATTGTCTTCAAAAAGCGCAAAAAAAATGTTTTTTCAATATTGTTTTTTTTTAAATTAGAAGTTTTCCTAAAGTAAACAGATGCACTTCTGTTCCTATTTTTAGCATACCAGTTTTTTTTTTCAAATAATTAGGCAATTTTCTATAATTACTATTGCGATCGAAACCTATTATTTGCTGTAGTGTCATCAGAAAAATAACAACATTTGAGTTAGTGCATACAAGAGGCATATCTTTGTTATATATTGAAAAAGCAATGGCCTAACAACGGAGGTTTGGGGCACACTAAATCGTATTGGTTAAACACATGAAATTTCAGTGGCATGCTCAAGATATTGTTTGCGATCATTCATAAATCTTTTTAGGGATTTAATTGTTTTTTTTTAAATTGAAATCCATAGCCATATATATTATTAACAGGTTGGAGTGATCAGTTGTGTCAAAATATTTCTCAAAAAAGAAGAAACAGGCATTTCCAAAAAAAAACTTTAAATAATTTTTCAACATTTTTAATTAAATTTCAACATAATTTTTTGGACTGGAACCCAAATTATTCAATTTTTAAAATCTCAGACTTTTTTATGAACACCATTAGTCGCTTCTGAAAAAAAAATTTTTGAAAAAAATTTAAATAGAGCTTTTTGTTTAGATGGTTCTTCAAAACTTTTTCAAACATGGGGGCATGGAGAAAAAACCCGGCCTTGGCCTTCGTTTATAGTAAACAGGGAGTGTTAAATCAGAAGAAAATTTCATAATATAGAACTTGAGCAGACAAAAAAGCAAACAAACGGTAGTTCGACAAATCAAGTTTTCCTATAAAAGTTTTTGAATTCATACATATCAAAAAAAACACCACCCCTTCGGGATTTGAACTCCAGAGTTTTTGGTCCAAACGCACACACTTCACCGTTAAACCATCTGGTAATGAGCCTGCAAATTGTTGAGGTTCTTTCACAAAGGTTTCCTTTTTCATTATCAGAAAACCGATCTACCGAAAACCGATCTACCCTACAACAGCCGGACCCGAATATGAGTGGAAATACTCTACAGAAATCTATGGAAAAGTTTAAAAAGCAAATCTAATTTCTATAGATTTGAAAACAAAATTGTTTACGGGAAAAACGTTTGCGGAAAAACTGAAGAAAACACTGAAATTTAAAAATAACCTTAGTTTCTCTACAAGTGAGTGTTTTCAAGATGTTTAGGAGAATCTTCAGACCTATTTGACAATTCCAACTGTTTGTGTTTTCGATACAACGCGAAAAAAACTATTTCAGGTTTGTTTTCCGCTCTTTGATAATTTCTACTTCTAAAACTTTAGCTCAGATTGCCCTATTAAAATACAAAAAAAAAATTGGCATACATACTAATTACGCTATTTCATACAGATTTAGTCTTCACTTAACATAGTAAAACTAAATATTACACATTAAACATTAAAAGGGAGGCTTAAATGAAATCGGGGAAAGAAAAAAAAAGATGTATATTTCCTCATAAAATAGTGGGTAACTTGTTTTAACAAATATGAAAACGAAAAGCTACCTTTGTCTGTATCTCTCCATCTTCTCTGGGATCCCCTGCAACTCGCTCAAGAACTGGCGCTCCCTGTCCAAAAAGTCCCCCCATCTGTTTTGGTGGGACTGGAACAGCTGTGGTTGGCTCTCTCTCATCTTACTTTTACTAAGCACTTCCAGGGCACGGGATCCGTCTTCGAGATGATGCTGGTTCTCGAAGAACGCCTACAAGTTAAGGAAAAAAACATCTTCGCATGTTCAAAAATGGGGGTTTTCTCATGCATTTTTGAAGCTCTGAATGGCCACAGATCACCCCGATGGTTGCTCAATCAAGGTCCTTACAACTGTCCAAAACTTAGAAATTTTCTATGTTATTTTGCTTTTGAGCTTTCAAATGCTGATTAGTTAGTACCTATCGAGACCCATGAATCCCGTTCCTTTCGAGATTTCCGTTCCATTCTCACATTCCATTCACTATAAACCCATACTTTTTGACAATTTAATGATAATTTATAACTCGAACTTAAGTGTTACGTATTTACAATAAGAGCTCGACCGGAACAAAATCTCAAAAAGTATACCTAAATACAGAATTATTAAAAGTATGAATGCGTTCTGACACGTACACGTATGATTCTTAGACCACTAACCACGTGGTTACTCAGGATGTCTTCGATTGGGGATCCGGCCTTGATGCGACTGGTCTCCTCGTGCAGCTGAGCCTCCCCCTTTGAAATCATCTGGAGGAACAGCCGCTCCTGCGTGGCCACGTCCTCCCGCTCCACCGCCACGCGCAACTCTTCGAACAGATCCTGCGAGCACATCGTAGTGTAGCTTTAAAACTCCGATTGTGGATTTTTATTAATAGCTTACTATATCTACTTTTGGCCGACTGAGCCTTCATTTTTCTTAGAGTGCTTTCGGCGCCTAGTAAGTTTGAGGTGGGAAAAACGCCGAAGCATGCAACACTTTGGTCAAAACTGCCCAAAAAATACCCAAAACGTCAATTTTACAGTTATTTTTCCGAAAATTGTTTGAAAACTCGCCCCTCGCGAAAAACCTAGTTTTGCCCCTGACCTTTTGCATTTGTGGATGGCGAAATTTTTTTGATTTTTGAATTGTTTTCTCAGATTCTGAAACATGAAACTCAAAAAGCAAAACATATTCTGAAAAATCAACAATCGTTTAGACAGGAGCACGTATAAGGTTTCCGTCAATAAAAATACGGACTCGAAATCTGAACAAAAACTAACATTAGAAGACTGTTGTAATTTTCGCGCTTGTTCCACAACTTGTCGTTTCGTCTTCGCGTTCAGAGCCGAGTAGGACGAAATGCTTTCCGACATCCTTTTGTATTCCGACATCCGACTCGTCACCGACTCCAGTTTGTTCTTCGTGGATTTCAACATGAGTGTGTGGTCGTCTCGCGACTGCATAGGCGTCCCACGTGACAACGCGTGTCGGGCTTCGTCAAGCGACGACTCGAACTCGGCTCGCATTTTGTGAAGTCGGGTCGATTCTTGGATTCGCGACTCCATTGTTGTCATTTCTTCAGATAAACGAGACCGGAAAGTCTGAAGAAAAAATCGAATTGGGATCTAAACCGAAGAACCAAAAGGTCGAAAGCAGAAGAGTAGAAAATTGTATTTACATACCTGGTAGTTATTGCGAATAACCACTAGTTCGTTGGAAATCGCTTTCGTATCTAAGCTCTCGTGTTGAGATAACTGACTGATCAGCGACGAAAGGTCTTTGAGATCCGAGTCCAAATTTTCCGAATTATTCAACTCCTAAAATTTGAAATAGACAAATTTGTGATTTCGAAGAAAGGAAACGAGGCTAAGTTTTTTTATAAAGAAAGAAAAACTGAAAACTTAAAGCCAGAACACAAATTTTTATGTGGGTTCTTGTAAAATTGGCAGACAGTTTTGATTCGTTTTGAATAAATATCAAAAAAAAATCAGCTTTCCGTTTTCGTCGGTGTAAATTTTCATTAGTGATAATAAAAAAGAATTTCCAACAGGAACAGTTGTTTTAACCGGGATTCAACCAACATTTGAGGTGGAAAAAAGATCGTTTTTGTTCCTATCAGCTGAGATTTCCTCATTAAATTGATGTTAATTATTCATGCATCTCGAAGACAAAAGCGAAGCCATGTTTTATGATAGCAAATTGCCAAATTCATTGTCAAAAGTGAACTGGGAAAAATCCAAATATGGTATTGTTTGTGCAATTGGCTTTTTTCCTGCAAATTCGGATGTTTTTGATATGATAAATTTGAAACTGATGACTCGCAAGCAAATACTATTAATATTCAAGGCATATAATCAATTAAATAAATTTTGGAAAAAGGAAGGTTTCAGATAACAACGAAAACTGTCTTCAAAAACTATGGCGTAACAAAAAAAGACACTTCTCATTTTTTCCGTAAATGTTTTATCCCGAAAATGAATTAATCAAGAAAAAGCATATTATTGTGCATTTATAAGGAGAAAGCGTATAAATTATTTATACAAAAAAGATCATTTTTTGGCAGGTTTTTGGGGGCCTTTATTTTGTAACTTATCAATAGCAAAAGATGTACCTGGAGTTTGCGTCTAAAAGTTTCAAGTTGGTTCAACTCTAGTCCCTTTTCAATTTCACCGAACAATTCTCGACAGCGCGAGATCCACAGTTGAACTGACTGTGTTCTCTGCTCGTAATTCTGGACCAAATCAACGGCAGTTATCGAGTCCTCGATCTCAGCTGCTACTCTGGTTTTGACGTCTAAGATGTCGTCTTTCAGCTTGCGAAGTCTGGATACTATTTTGGACTTTTGGTCGTCTGAGACCTGAGGCACGATTAGTTGACAGAGTCTGTTAAGTGACTTAAACTGTTCCTCAACATCAGGTAGATCCAGTTCCAATTCCTGTAAAAATTAAAATCTAAGTCAATTTTTTATTGGTTATATGTCATTTTCAAACACAGAGGGAAAACGGAGCTTCGGACCATTTGCGATACAACACAAAAGCTAAAAAAAAACATAAGAAGTCGAAAAAAAGAGAAAATTTAAAGAAAAACCAAGAAAGCCATGAAAAATTGTTGAATAAAAAAAAATATAGGGTATACAAAAAGTTTTCGCAGCCTATGTTCGCAGTTTAAGCTGGAAGTGCGCGTTTTTTGTGAAATTTTTATGCTGATGCCGGACGAAATGCGTAAATTCAACAATTGGACTTTGCCCATAACCTTACTGTCCCAAGGACATGAAGTTTCTCTTACAAAAAATAAAGGAGTCAAAATTTTGCAGTTGGTTCTTTCGATTAAATTTTTCATAATAGATGTGAAACGGTAGTTTTTATGAAAACTCAAAAAAGTTTTAGAAAAAAATTCAAAAAATCAAATTTTTGACTTTCTGAAATCTAAAGTAGAGAAAATTCCCCATATTGGAATTCTCGATTCAGCATTGAATCTCAAAACTGGTACGGCAATTTTGGAAAAAAATCAAAACGCTTCCAAGATACTGTCGAAAATTTATATTTCTGATTTTTTTTGAAAACCAAAAGCTTTTTCTATAAAAAATTGTGCACGAAAAATGTTTTTCATGGTTTACTACCCAATAACAAAGCTAAACTTTCGACATTCAACACCCTGTTTTTTACAATCAACCCTATGGTATCAGATTTGGCAAGATAGTTATCAAGATAACTCCAAAAAACGGTCAACAAATCAAAAACTTGTAATATGCATTTTCGACTGAACCCAAAAATTCAAATTTTAAAGGATATTTCTCGAAAAATTCAAAAAGTTTCAAAATCTGGTCAAAAATTCAAAATCTATATATTTTAACAAAGGTATATAAATTCTTAATTAAAAATGTGGGCGTAGTCGCGTATGCAAACAAGCTCCGCAACATCCGTTTTTTAAATTTAACTCAAAGTCTCAGATTTGAGAGGGTATTTTTGGTAAAATTTATAAATTTATGCATATGCAGGAGAGTATTTCACTCCAGTTTTTTTCATTGAAACTAAAATTTGAAATTTGGGAGGGTTGTTTACGAAAAATTGAAAAAAATCAAATGTATGGATCAAATAATCCCCCACATAGACTTTTTCGAAGGCTGTAGATAGAGGGGTAAAGTAAACAGAGACTAGGGGAATATGCATACATGCAGACACACAGGGGAGCAGGCAGTCTTTTCACTGTTATCCCTTTCAGCACAAAATAAAATTTGTGATGTGGCAACTAAGCCGACAAAACGCGAGCAGATAAAAAAGTCTGACAAATCAATCAGTCCCATAAAACGAAAGTCCGACAAATCAACTTTCCGATAACTTCGGTATGAGGGAACCTGGATGTTTTTAGGATTCAATAATAAAGCAAATTGAAAATTTGTAAGAAAAGTTTTTAACGGAAAAAAAGTTTAGTTGCCGATTACAAGACACTTGCTTTTGCAAGTCTAAATTAATCTACCGGTTTTCAGATGCCGGATTTTGGAGTGAGCTCTTCCTTTTTTGTCAAAAATTTTTTGATCTATCGGATATTCGCTAAAACTTCGAAAAGTTTTCTGAAAGTTTGTCCCTATGTTCGGAAAATGCAGGATCTTACTACCGTAAGGTTTACCGAAGAATATTTTAAAATTTTACTCAACATTCGGGATGAAAAAAATGCGGGTTTTATTGCAAAGCCAAAAAGGTCTACGCTCCTGTAATCCTGGAACCGTATAAATAGCGGATGATGATATTGACACTCTTGCTCTAGCACCAAATAAAAAACATGACTTTTAAAATGCGCATTTTAGTTATGATTTTTATTGGTAATATTTTTTCATTTTGTTTGTTGTTTGATTTTTTTGTATATTTTTTGATCAAATTTCATATATTGTTACTGAATATAATGGACGGTACCTTCAGTTGATCCTGCCTGGCGATGATATCTGTGAGGTTGCATTTTACTCTGCAGCTGGTCCCGCTGTTACTTGTAGTTGTAGTTGTACCATGTTGTAGAACTTTTCTCGCTTCGCTTACCCACTTATTACATTTGGAGATATCTTCTTCAAACTTCCTCAATTGTTGAACTTTCTGCAAATTAAAAAAAGCAATTCAATTCTATTATACAAGTAAGAAAAAAAATTCAATTAGTTGCTGAGGCTCGATTTAAACACAAAATGGGGGGGGGGGGGGGTGTTTTCATGACCGAAGAATCAAATATGCAAAACTTTTCAACTAATCAATGTCCTTTAAACTGCCCAAAACTGTCTGATTTTCAAGCTTATTTAAGTCATCGCTCATCTAGAAAAAAATTTTGTGACACTTAGTGACAAAATGACAAAAATTTAGGAAGTTTTTAATTAATTAGGGTTTAATTCTTTAGGTCATCACTGTGTTTTTTTTATTTTACGAGGGGTCAAGGACACTGGTTTAAAACCCATCACTTTTTTTCACCAAAACACCTAAACATTTAAGGAGTGTGGTTCACTTAAGATCCAACTACTTATAGCTGACCATACCATTTTGTCGCCGAAGTTGGCCTTGACTGTGTCTGCGATCTCCTTCCATCTGGAGTTGATGGCAAGCACCTGTTTCTTCAACTTCTCCCTTGTCTTGTCATCCGCACCCTCTATTAGAAAGTTGCCACTCTCATTCACTATGGTGTGTATGCCAGCCCAGTGGTGGAAGTCTTGGAAAAAATCCTGAAAGGAAAAAAAAAGTCAATCCAGTGTTACCACCCCGCCCCCCCCAAAAGAAAAAAACTGGTTAAAATCAATCACTCCAATATCTAAGCTGGACTCAATTGCCCAGGTCTGCATGTAAAATAGTTATTTCTGTTGTGTTAAAAAATTCCAAGTTAGGACTATATCAATAAATCTATTTCTCTTCACATAAAACCCTTGGGTTCTTTGAAGGGTTTGAACTTTGTTCCAATTGTTTTCGAACTTGAGTTCAGTCGCTTTCTGTCAGCTATGCTTCTTTTCAATTTATTTTGACCGTTGAACGGTCAAAAGAGAAGAAAATCTTCATAAAACGTTTCATGAAAAACATGATCAAAGTGTTCAATTGTTTCATCAATTATTAGATTTGGCAAACAGAATAAATTTTCCTGGAAATTCGTTCTTCAAAAAAACTGCAGTATACAACCTCTATGAAACCTCTAATGAAAAAGAGTTTAACAGCTCATCAACTTCAAATCTCATCAAATTCGCAGAGACTGATTTCAGTTGCAGACCACCAATAAGTGTCAGTTGAAAAACTCGAACGAATTTTTTTTACTGTCATATAGTATTAAGTTGAAGCCAGAGTTTTAAAACTTCTTTATAGATTTAAGGCCTTCTTTGTAGCTCAGCATCAACATTGAAACATCTCGACTAGATCAAAGGGGACTGCTCTTACTAAAAAGAGGAAGAAAACTGAAAGTTCCTACTACAGTGCTGATTTAAATTATCCGGACAAAATGAACAAAACATGAGTTTTCAAACACGTTTTTATCAAATTGGGTTAAGATTAGACAAAAAAATGAGGAGAAAAAAGTTGCTAAGAATTTCATCAGAATTAATATGGTGCAAATTTGTCTCCGAAAATCTCAACCAAAATTTTACCCCAAAGTGGGTCATTTTTTTTTCTTCAATTAATCAAGAATTACGCTGAAACTACTTGGTTAATTGATAAGAAAATTAAATCACAAGAAGCCTCTTACACAACCCAACAAAATTTAAGAAGAGTTAATTCTCCAAAAATTTGCGCAAATTGTTTAAAATTTGTTTATAAACAGAGGTTCTGGGTTTTATATAGTAAAAATTACTTTTATTGACTATCAAATAGAAAATTTTTCTCTTATACTAGTTTTTGGAAAATTAACCCTTCTTAAACTTTGTTGGGCTGTGTAAGAGGCTTCTTGTGATATAATTTTTTTATAAATTAACAAAATAGTTTCAGCGTAATTTTTGATTATTTGAAAAAAATCAAAGTGACCCATTTTTGGGGTAAAATTTTGGTTGAGAATTTCAGAGAAAAAAAAATAACACCATATTAATTCTGAGGAATTTCTGTTCTTTTCTTGTCTAATCTTAACCCAATTTGGGAAAAAACTCGTTTGAAAATTCAAGTTTTGTTCGTTTTGTCCGGATAATTTAAATCTGCACTGTATCTCTTCTATCATTGATCAAGAGCTTTTTGAAAGCTGAGGGCACCCTGAGCATTGAAATTCTTCAGATTTATACAAATTTTAGCCACCGGTTGCCTGTTAAATTGTCGAAATTTGTAAAATATTAAGTGATAAATTATGAAAAAAAAATGCCTGCCTCAATTCAGTTTGGAACAATTTTTTTCTTGGCGCTTACAATTTAATACGACAAAATTGATCGCCACGACAAAGAATTACCACAAGTACACATCTATTTGATTTTGAGCCATGCATGGGCAACAAAATTTTTCAGGCTGTATTAAAATTTCCTTCAAAGGTTGCAATCAGTTAAAATGTGGAGCAATGTCTGAGGAAAAACCAACTCGAATATGAAATGATAAACTTTACAAAATTTGAGCAAATCAATTCTGGCAAGCTTCAAGTTGACATTTGGGTTATATGGACAGAATCTCTTTTTTCTCAGAAACACTTCGAAAAAAAAAATTATTAGCGTAAGTTATATACGAGCTTTGCATGAAAAAATTGTTAACTTGCTTCTAAGATATAGTAGTTTGTTTCTATCTTGTTTATGCTAATTGAGTAATTAGTTACGGTATTTTGATGCCCAATCACGCATTCAAAATATTTTCGAACTGCCGGAAAAAAAGAGCATTTACAACACAAAAATGAATGCCAAAGTTCAAAAGATATAATAAGTTTCTTTAAATAGACTTTGAAAAACCATACTTCTAAAACTTGTTTCAGCTCGAAGGAAGTTGTAAGGATCTCGTTAGATTTATTTTGAAATGCTCATAATCAAACAAAACACATTTTTGGTTTAACTAAAGTAGAAGTCTTTAATCAACTCTGTAAAAATTGAATTCGGTTGAAAAAGTGATCGGCTAGAAAAAAAGCCCTTTTGCCAATTTTACTAATAAAACAATTTTTCTGTGGGCCATAATAAAGAATTCAAGCTATAAAAAACTCCATTTACTACCTTCTCATAAAAAAACTAAACATGGAAATTTTGCACAAAAATTATCCAAGAAACTTCAATTTTTTGAAAGAGAGTTGATGAAAATTTTGAAACAAACTTACTACAATTTCATCTGAAAAATTGGTGATTGAATCAATTCTTACCCGCTGCCTCCTTATTAGTAATACCAAAAAGAACGAGTAATATTGGACTCGGTGGCGAAACTGAACTTCACACCACTTGCGATACAAAATGAAAAATTATACAATCAATTGAATTCTGTTGAAGAAACCGTACGGTAAAAAAATCAAAAAACATGTTTGCAATTGTAAAGAAAAATAAGTTTCCCAAAGAAAAAAACAAGTACTCGGCTGTTCTTTTTCATAATTTCTAGATATAAACGGTAAGAAAAACTATGAAATCTTAGAAACGATAAAAACAGATCTTGAAATCAAACAAACTACATTACCTAAAGAATCAGTTGAGGACTATACATACGCGAGGCTTGCGATAAACTAGGACTAAAAAAAAGAAAAATTGGAACACTAAATATTTAAGAAGCTTGGACGCAAAAATTCCCAACTTTTGCCACAATACAGGCTTGCCGAAAATCTACAAAGCTTTTCAATCCTTTTAAATTACCCAAATTAAGAAAACTTATCAAATATGAAATTATTACGAACTGATCAGAAGGTTGATTCTTGTTAACAGGAAACAGATCACAATTCAAAAAGACACCAGTTACTGACAGGAAAAAGACAGTAACAATCACAATTATGAGTCTCGTGGACACTTGCCAAAAACTTCGAATTTAAAACAATCCAATCAAACTTAAAACAATCCAATCCAAGCAAAAAAACCTAATATATGAAGAGAGTTAAGGCGCTTAAAGCTAAAAACTAAGTCAAAATACACAAAACGAAAAATAAGCAGAAGCCGTACAGCCGAAAAACAGATTTCCAGTTCCATTTTTTCTTCACTAAAAATAGGTCTGATGAACATGAAATCAAAGACCTAAAAATTATAAAAAACGTAAAATCAAACAGCTAAAATTTGAATTAGAAAAACAGGACCAATTTGTTTGGAACGTAGTTTTTGATTTAATAGCTCTTAAATCTTACTGACTCAGTGTTTTTCGCTGAAAAGGGTTATCACTATGGAATATAGGATACCAAGTTCTTGAACACTAAAAGAAATTTTTTTTTTGCAAAAATCGAAACATTAAACCATGAAGGTAAAACATAAACTCAAAAAACACAATAAATAAGGAATGCATTTCAAACGAAAGAGATTATGAAATTTATTCTTTTTAAAGAAATCTGTCTCCGTAAAAAAGAACAAAAAAATATTTACTCAAACTAAAAGAAAAAAAACTAGGTAAATAACCCGACAGAATTGGAGCCAAAACCAAAAAAGCTGAAAGCTCCAACTACCAAAAACGATCATTCTGTGAACAACATTTTTTAAGAGAAGAATGCAGCACCCGGTTGCAATAGCATTCCTTATCGCAATGGGTAAAAGAACGGTCGTTAAAAATTTGCATTTTCAGTTTTTTTATTTACTCTTCCTAGAAATTCGCAATATCTCAACAGATACTTTGTCGGAATTTTTCGAACGGCTACTCAAAAATACTTAGCAGGAAGCAAAAAGGCATTTAACACCATTTTAGGACAATTTCTTGCACAGGACATTATAAAAATTTTTATAAGTGTCCTCAAAATCATAATTTACTACAGTCCAACCTGAAAAAGTGGCAGCTAGTCAATTTAAATCAAGAAAGTTTGTATCAAGTCAAAGGCTTGAAAGTTCGATCTGCCTTTAATTAGTCTCAAATCGTTTTTCTTTAAAAGTTATGACAAAATTTGAATTTTAGACTAAATATACTAAATGGGAAACATTTATTTGGGAAACTTGTTAGTTTTATGCGGTATGTATATGCGGTAAAAATCTATGAAGTTGCCTAAAAAAAAACTCAAAATATGCGCAAAAAAAATTCAGTTGTTCAGCTATTACATTCATATTCAGTTTGAAGTACAGAAACAAAACTTAAAAATTAATTTATGACCTAATTTTCAAACAATTTTTTGTCGTTATTGCAATAAAATCAAAAAAATTGCTTCAACCTCTGCTAAAGTGAAAAAGGAACGCATATTTGAGCGCCAAATCGGATGATTTGGGCATGATGTCCTAGTAGCAATGTCGATGATAGCTTTTGCTAGATTCTCCATGATGTATGGGTTACTGGCTCACTGAAATTTTCTTGCCTTTTTGGACCAAGTTTGAAATTTTGCCTCAGGAACATATTCAATTTTTGAAATGCTGAGGTTTAGTAGTTGGTTGTAAAATGGACAAACTTTTGGTCTGGTTAAAACACACAACATCAATCATGAATTCCAATCAGGGGTGCATTCCTCTAGCAGGGCAAAAATGTTATTCGTGTTTTCCGATCAATTTTACTGCCGCTTCCGAAATTTTATTAACAAAATTTGACAACCGCATTTTAAGGATGTTGTCAAAAATATTTTGAGGAATGCAGCTGAAAATTGAGAAATCATCCAAATTCTTCATTTTCAAAGAGCAAGTTTCAGTTTTTCTAGAGTTGAATAAGCAAATTTCCAAGTTCCAAATTTGACTGAAACATGTCCAGAGAATCTTCAAAAAACTCTTAATTGGAAGACAGAAAACGCACGTTTATGCATGTTTCAGGTCTTGCCCCAACATATTTTGATATAAAAACCAGTTATAAAGTATTTGGTTTTTTTTAAATCAAAATTCATTTTTTTTAATACACCAGGAATCTGGGGATTCCGTTAATCCGATAATCAGGAAGTGGGTATACTCGATTGATTCTGCCTTTGCCTGCGGAAGGTATTCTGATTGTAGGTCAAAATCGCCCTGTTAATGGTAGAATCAACGCTGACGCTGAGTTTCTAGATGGCATAACGCACCAAAAGTGAAACACCAAAGTTTTGAGTTAGACTGCAAACGAAGACAAGACTGCTCGTATCAGGGTGAAGCCCTGAAGGTTCCGACTGCCTTTTAAAGTCTTTAGAGCAGTATCAACATGGAAAAATTAAAAGCAATAAAATAAAATGAAACTTTTTTTTATAAATTGAGATTTTTTTCGTGAAAATCATCCCCCAAACACCATATAAAGTACGAAGTGATAGATTTAGCCCCTAATAACAAATCAATTATGGCGATTAAGCTTCCTTCAACCAGTTTGGAACGAATTTTCTGAAAAAAGTCTTAATTAATGTAAAGCATTTTATACGTTGGTTTTTGATAGAGCTCCTATATTTTCTTTTGTCTTTATAAAAGTCGACTAACCAAGCAAATATACCTCTGGAGTGCAATTATACATGAAAAGTTTTGAAGATTTTGTATTTCTTTCAAAAAATAGTTGAAATTAAGGTGTGAACAATCTCCACCCTAAATTTACCAAGTGATCACCCGGGTCTCGGTAGAACTCAAATTTCATATTAAAAATTCATATAACTAAAAACATAAATATTGTATACATTTTCCAAGATTATCACTAAAACATAGATATGGTATAAATTTTCTAAGAAATTAAATCTTCCTTAGGTTTCATGCATGTGTTTAATGCCTAAACCAGGAACAAATCAGTTTCTTCAGTTTCAATGTATGTTGATAACTGGACTGGTAAAACGAAAACAAAATGTATTACATCCTGTATTTAAGATACGCACCAGCGCTTTCTATGTCCAGCGCCATAATCAAAAAGTGGATATTTTTTGACTCGCATACTAAGAACTTACTTGAATGTCCAAGAGAATGGGGTATCTTTTTGAAAGAGAAATTATTTAATTAGATGAGAAAAATTTTTCTAGCGTAATCATTCAGTGTGATTGAATAATTTAAAATATCCGACTTCTATGAAAGGGAGACTTGATTTGGTTCAACAGAAATCTTTAGCCAAACTATAAACTTTTTCAGAGGGTGGCGTCTAGTTTTGTTTCGATAAAAATATTTCAATTTTTTTTTGTTTCTTTTTGTATATGTTTCTTCAAAAATGAGAAACTCATAACTGAAAGATAGTAGAAAAAAATTGGCTCACTGCTGAAACTGACGATTCGGACGCCGAGTTCTCAAGTTGGGGACGGGTGGCCTTGAGAATATCCAGGCACTGCTTCATGTATCCTTTGAGATCTTCGGCTGAAGTGTTGAACCTGCTCCACGTGTCTCTCACTTCAGTCAACATGACCCCCGTTGCCTTCAGTTCTACCTGGATATTGTCCAGGGTCGAGAGAAGCGACCGCAGTCTGGATTCAGGGGAGGGACCTGGATTATTCAAGAAAAAACTAAAATTTCTTTAATCTGAGTAATTACGGAAGATATCATTTAGCATTCTCCGACTTGTCCTGAGCTCACACTTTAAAAGATATTTCACCTGTGATTTTTTTGTAAGACTATGGCGGTTAAAAATTGCCAGTTTGGCCGATTTGGGTTCATTAACGCGCGTATAGCGTGTTTCGTGCAGCGCGTAAATAAAGATTTGATCCGTCCTACATGTAGTTACGAACTGAATCGAGGCATGTTATTTGGTCGATTTGCATTACGAGGCCAAACTGTGCATTCTCTGCATTGTGAGCGGAATAAGCAACAGGCCAAAATCAGATTTGTCGCGGAATCCGCAACATTGCTACTTTTCTTTGATCTTCTGTGCTGTTGTACCGCTCAAAATTGCTCGAAAAATAAGCAAATTTGCGGAATCCGCAACTGTATTTGCGGAATCCAGAACAGTTTGTTGAATCCACAAATAAATGATAAAACAATTGCATCGTTAAATTGAGCTGTTGCGGAATCCGCATTTGTAAGTGGAATCCGCAAATTGTAATTGGAATCCGCACTTTGTTTGCGGATTCCTTTTATATATATTTATATGTGTAGTAGCCTTTGAAATTATATCTTTTAAATACATGATTTGATTTCACTAGAATAGAAATTTACTAGAAAAGAAATTTACTAGAAAAGATCAGTGTTTGGGATTAATGAAATCCCAATTATTGACCAGTATTTGGGATCGATGAAATCCCAAATACTGAACTAATTCGACGATTTGCTATGCGTTGGGTTTCTAATCACTCTCAACCCAATGACTCCAAATAATGGATATATTACATATTTATTCTAAATTATTCCAGTTTTTGGATTCCATCAATCCCAAATACTGACCAGTATTTGGGATCGATGGAATCCCAAATACTGACCTAATTTGGCGATATGCTGTATGTTGTGTTTCCATACACTCTCAACGCAATGACTACAATTACTGCATTTATTCGGCTATATGTTTCCAAAATCAGTATTTGGGATTGACCCAATACCAAATACTGACCTAATTTGTCGATATGATGTGTGTTCCATACACTCTCAACTCAATGACTCCAAAAATTGAAATTATTCGGTGTTGTGTTTCCAAAATACTAAAAGATGACATCCACCGATTTAGGTAACCAATTTTTTAAGACTTGTTTGTGGATTCCGCTCACAATGGTTAAGTCTTTGCTTTTAAATTCTGCATTGCTAGAGATAAGAATTCCAGCTAAGCTTTTAATTGTTCATATGCAAGTTCAGTTTTGAACAAAATTCGGAACCCACTCACTGTTTGCGGAATCCACTTACACTTGCGGAATCCATAACAACTAGCTATTATTGCTTGTTGCGAAATCTGCATCAAAACAAATATGCCGACAAAATTAACGTTACAGGTAATTGTATGCGGAATTCATTGAAATCTTATTTGTGGAATCCACTCACGTTTTGGAACAAATTTTAAGACTTGTCTATGGAATCCAGGAACATACAGACACAAAATTGTCCTCCTATCCAGTGCACAGTTTGGCCTCGTAATGTAATACTTTGCTATTTGCAAAAATTTTATTTTTTTATATAGCGTGAAGAGTGTTCTGAAAAAATCTTCCGACTTGAAAGGCAGTCGAACAATCACAACCTCTCCCTAATATGAGCAGTCTTGTTTTCTTTTGCCAGGCCAATTTTGACTTAACTAGCCGTTTTTGACGAAACTTTTTTATCATCCAAAAGTTAAGGATGTCCTGAGCTCAAAATTGCAAAACACCCCACCTTTGATCACATTTCATAAATTTATATAGGTTTAGTCAATCTCGGGATGATTTGCGCGCAATATATTTTGTGTTATTAAGAAGAAAGCGGCAATGTAATCCGTCTCAGAAATCGTTCTAAGCAGAACTGAAGTGCACTTAGAAATTTGGATTTGACAAGGATGATTTATTTAGATTAAACAAACACGCCTGGCATCATTTTGGATTGATTTTAGATCAGATTTAAATCACCACTAAATTTTTTTCTAGATTACCAATAATATCCTGAATTTTAGTGGACCTCACTTTTAACTTAGAACAATTATTGTACTCAATAAATTTCCTGTGACTAAATCTATCTACCTAAAGGTTATGAATTTTTCTCGGTAAATTTGCACTATTTTTCCTTAACTTTAGAACCAATATACCAATATGTTTCTAGAGTGCTAGTGAAAAAAAGTCACAAAAAGTGGAACTGAAAAAATTAAATTGATGTTTTTAGCACTTTAATTCCAATTCAAGCAAAAATCAAATATATGCGTCTTTTTTGATAGAACATTTTACAGTTTAAGGCAGCAATCTGAAGAAAATAGACAATATTGAAACTGTTGTAGGCAAGAAAGAGACTTTTAAGGCACCAAAGAGATTTTAAAAATGGCGGATTTAGCGCTTGATCTCAAAAAGTATGACTCTGTCTGTAATCATTTTATCATTTTATAATTTTTTAAATTTGATATTTAAGACAGTTACCTACTTTTTTTCTAATAAAATGAGCGTATCAGGTAGGGCGATAACAAAGAAGCAAGAAAAAAAAACATTTGAGTAAAAAAACTAATTTAAAAAGACAATATATTAGAAAAACCTAAAATCAAGCAAATGATTTTTACCGGAAAAACAATAGGTTTAAAATGCCACTTTTTTCAAACAGGAGTTTCTTCAGAAACTAATTTATTATTTTTGATCATTCAAGCGGCACGTGTGCAATGGCTAGTACAATAGAGTCGACGCTAAAATGTAAATATGCGTCTTTTCCTATTGAACTATTTTTCGGCAATTAATTTATTTTCAACTAGTCAGCTTCGAGCAATTTTCTTTTAAATATTTTTTTAAATTTGAGGTTCAATATTTTGGGCGGAATAAGAAAAAAGACCTGTTAAATTCTGGTAACTTCCCAAATGGCATAATTCCCAAATGGCATAAAAATTGAAACTTTTCCCTAATGGCATAAATTTCAAGTTTTCATTGTAATTTAAACATTTTTTTGTCAATTTCTAATTCTAACATTTTGCCAGGAACGAAAGCATGTGAACAAGATTTGGAATTAATTGCTTCCAAACAATTTTACGCAACAAAATTTGTCGAAAAAATTGACCACAATAAGCTTATTAATAACCGCAAGCTTATACTTCTTGCTTTTATAAAAAATTCTACAACTTTTTCAAGATAAAATGTCAATCAACATTTGAATTGACAATTTGACTAATTTTCTCACATTGTTCACGAAAAGATTGTTCTCGATTTTTTCAATGCAACTGTTGCATGAAATTTATGCCATTTGGGACATTTTTAATTTTTATGCCATTTGGGAATTATGCCATTTGAGACGTAATCCTTTTTCTTGGCTTTTTAACGAGTTTTTCAGATAGCGCGACGTTTTATTGTAAATAACGAGAAATTTACAAACCTTTTACCCCATTCGTTGCATGTGTGGCCAAAAACTGTTCAACTTCATTTTTTACAGTTTCACAAGCCTGAGGGAAATTTCTCGTAACACAAAACTCATTGTAGTCTTTCAGCAGAATGTTCACAGCGTCTAAAGTGCCGTACTTAATACTCCACACTTGCAGTTTAGATTCGGCCGACATAACCATCTGCTGAATGGAATCTTCCAGTAATGCATGTTCGCCCATCATGCAAAGTTCCAGGAACTGTAAAACCCAAAAACCAAATAACTTCTCTTGAGATGTGTTCTGGTTAGATCTTTGAGTTAATTGTAAAATCGAATGAAAACTCGGTTGAACTTAATAACTTGCACAATTTCTTGCTTGTTTTAAAACAACAATGAGCAATTTAAAATTTGAACGAGGACCAAATCTAGTTTCGCAAATCATCAAGATATAGTTTTCAAAAAAAATAAATTCTGCGAGTGGTTATACTGGTTTTTGAAGGCTTTCAATTTTCAAAAAAAAGTCTTCAATTTTTTTCTTGGTGGTTCATTTTTTGCAAATTTGTTCGATTGGATTTTGAGTAATTGTTTTCAATTCTTACAACTGCTGTCAAATGTAACAAAAACAGCTTGTTTTGCTGTAATTTTCAGGTGATAAGTTTTTCAACCAGACCTGATGTACAATTAGAAATTGAACGCAAATATTGTGTAATACATGTTTTAACTGCGAACAGAAATGAGTCACGTAGTGCTGATGATGATTGAATTTATGACCAGTACGTTTTTTGGACCATTTTACACCAATACGTTTACTAAAAATTACAGCGATGCTCGTTAGATATGTTATACGATTTGCTTAACAAAAATAAAAATTAAAAATATATTGCATGAGCATACAAAAATAGTAGTATTACCAAATTAATTGGTCTCAAAATGAGAGGGGGTTTCAAGAAAATAAGAGTAAAGGGGTTCAGTAAGTAAGTACAGAGTGAATCAGAGAACAAAAGTGATGGAATCAAAAATGCTTCAACTCAAATAAAAATTGACCCAGAAAACAAAAATGCTAGGGTCAAGGCAAAATAAAGCTCAGAAACCTGTAAATATCCCCAAAAAGTGGGTTTTCCCAATTTTTCTGGATCTTTTTTGTTTGCACGGCAATCAAAACGTCATGCTTAGACTTTGAGCATATTTTTGAATTTGTTAGAATGAATTTTGTAATTTCAGAAGTTGGACTTTACCCAAAACCTTAGTTGTTTTTCCACTAAAACAAGTGAAAAGAGTAAACATTTTTGAGAATTTGGAATTTTCTCAAAAATATAACTTTTCTCTTTAAAAAAAAATAAGGATTAGCCGCTTCTGCAGGAAAGTTTGCGCAGGCGCAGGCGCTTCTTTCGATTGGAAATTTCATCTCAGATTTGATAAGGTAGTTTTTAAGAAAATTCAAAAAATTTCCAAAAAAAAGGATCAAAGCTCAAAAATTTAACTACCAGAAATCAATCAATTTTTCTGATATCAGATTTGGCAGGATAGTTATCGAGAAAAGTAAAAACCGGCAACAAATTAGAAAGTTGAAATTTCCGAGAATCAAAGCTTTCCTTTAAAAAAAATGGGCGTAGACGATTATGCAGAAGATATTCACTCAACTTGTAATTTCAACTGAACCCAAAAAATCAGGTTTGGCAGGGTAGTTGCCAAAGAAAGATAAAAGGTCACAACACGATCAAAAAATCAAAGTCTTGACTTTTCCGAGGGCCATAATTTTTGCTTCGAAAAAAATTTGGGCGTAATTGCGAATGCAAAGGAGCTTCTCACAACACGTTCTTCAGATTGAACCCAAAATTTCATATATCAAGAGTTTTTTTGATAATATTCATAAAATTTATAGAAAAAAAATGCTCGAAAAAAATTGATTTTTCCGATGACGACGATTTTTTAATTAAAACAATTGTGAGTGACCGCTCAGGCAGGAGAACTTTCCACTACCTGTTATCTCCAATGAATCCACAACTTCAGGTTTAGGAGATCATTTTTCGAGAAAAGTTGAAAAAGATTCAAAAAAACTGTCAAAAAATCAAAAATTTGACTATTCCGAGGGCCATATTTTTATATGTACAAAAGATTTGGGCCTAGTCACTGATGAAGGGGAGTTTTACATTTTCATTGAAACCAAAAACTCAGATTTGAGACGGGTAGTTATCGAGAAAACAAAAAAATCAAATAATATCGGTCAAATATTCCCCCACAGACTTTTTCGAAGGCTGTAGACAAAATTGGGAAGCAAAAAACACCAGGGAAGTATGCAGGCACACAAATTGTAGGCGGTCTTTCTACGGATACGCTTTTTTCCATAAAACTTAAGTGTTTGTAAAAATTGATAAAACTTTCAAAAGCGTCTCAAAAAACATGATAAAAAACCCAATCCCTTACGGTTTTCGTTCTGGTCAATAAAAGGGGGAGCAACTTTGTCTTCGGTAGTGATTTCGTTTTTCAAAATTTAGTTTCCACTTGAAAGCAGGCACCGCAAATAACCATTGGAATTGATCAATTTTTATGTATCAATTAAAAACTCGATCAGTCGTAGAGTAATAATTTTCGATTGAGGACATGAACTCCACGAGCTCCAGTTAATATATTTTTTTAAACGTTCTTGAAATATTTGTAGATTTTTCTTTTTTTCTCTTTTCATTTCTTGAAAATACCAATTTTACTATTAATATCTTATATTTCTGAAAAATTATCCTTTAAATCTTCTTATTTCTTTACAAACAAAAAACAACATAACTTTTATTATAAAAAAAATTGCATTGTTTATTCACAGTCGTAGTGAATGTTTTCTCTACAACTTTATCAAAAACCGACTATACTTAGTTTTTTTGAACTTGAATGGCTACGTTCGCAAAATCTTTTTATCCACTCATCAAGGAACTGCTTTTGATTTTGCGGTTCAGATTAACTGACCGCTAAAAAATAAAACGGAGAGAAAGGTTCCACAAAAAAATTGAAATGGTTGCTTGTGAATTTATTGAGAATTCATTTCTGAGTTTGTTTTTCTTATAACAAAAAACCCAAATTATTTTCTGAAAACTTTTTAAATTTCTTTAAAAAACTTTCCGAAATATGTTTTGTGACAGAAATTAAAGCAAAACTTAGCAAAATTTGGAGTATACTTGAAGAGTCATAATGCACGCCAAACATTTTATGCAAATTTAAAAAAAATGCGAAAGCAACCAAAACGGTAAACGAAGGGATTGAATTCCCATTCAATTGATACAAACAAAACATCAAGTATTAGGGATACCAAAAACCAAACATTTAGAAATATCGTATCATCAATTTCTCTACAGAACAAATGCTATCATGTAAATTGCTATAATTTCTCGCAAAAAGCAGAATCAACAAAATGAAAAACAGATGAACTGAAAAAAAACATCGAATGTAAATAAAAATTAACAGGAAAAAAATACTGGAAATTAGCTTCACTGAAAAAAAATTATTCAATATCAGAGATTATTTAAAAATCATTTCCATCTCCACAAACTAACAAAAAAACATTCACAATCCTTAAATCGCGTTTGCTCATAAAAGAGATGCGACTATGAAGAAATAATGGCAGAGCAAGTACGTTGAACGCATTTTGAACAAATAATTAAAACAAGTATAAAAACTAATGAAAAGTTTTCGTTTTCCCATAAAAAAAGACTCAGCAGAGCAAAAAAGAATGCATTTCTCAATTAAACTTAAAATTAAAATACGAAACTAAGTTATGAAAAACAATAGGAAAAAAATTCAAAAATTAATTTAAAAGCATGTAGAAAGGAGCAATTGAGTTCGAAAAAAAATATTTTGCGTCTAAACTAATTGTATTTCGAAAACTCTCCAGGCGACATAAACAATGATGCTTTATTCAATAAATTTTCCAGTAAACAAAAATAACTTCTAATAGGCTTAGCATCAAACTTACAAAAAACATTACACAGGAAAAAGTACACATTTGACTGAAAAAAAAAATACGATGACCACAAACTTCAACATCATGTAGACTAAAGTGTTTTTGATTTGTAAATTTCATTTTACTGTATATATAGGATGATAAAAAGGTGAAAAAATAATTAAAATTAAAACTCGCTTTAAAAAAATGCGCATTTAAAATTTATCTTGTTGTTAGAATTTCTAGTGATTTAAAAAAAAATTTCCTCAAATTGATTTTTTTCACGTTGGAAAACAATGCGTACAACCTTGAATTAATCAAAAAGTTCACAAATTAGTTAGAAAGCAGAAATAGAAGGAAAATTATATTATGGAACCAAAAAGAAAATTTGAGGCCCACATCCGAAAACCGAATCTTAACTGATTAACTGAAGAATGCAATTGAAGCAGCGAGAGCAAAAATCTTCAGACAATGTAAGTGACTTTTATGAGGAAAAAAAGAGTTTTCGAGATCTGGCGACTGAACGAGCCAAAATTAACTTAAATTTAACAACATTATTTTAAAAGATTGAAAATGAGGCTTAGGGCACAATGGGGAGTTCAAGTAAGGACTGGGTATCAATAAAAAACCTACCCTTTGATGCAAGGATGTCTCAAGATGTAACAGCGGACAATTTGATTGTTAAAAAAAACTTGAGATAAAAAACTGAAGTGCGATCGCATTAAGGCGTGTCATGTATTACCGGGTGACACAAAGAGACTCCTGTACTCAGTTATTTGCAATTCTCTTTTTGCAGACAAAGCTGTCCGTCTTACGAGCTAGTAGAATATTAAGAAAAGCCAACGCGGCGAACAATAAGTATTTATACTTATCCGAAAGATTAACCAAATTTGAAGACCAAATCAACTCGGCAGCCAAAAACATAGGCTTGATTATAACCACAAACAGTTTGGTTGTATCGGTGCTCGTCATTGTATATGCACACGTCATTTATATGCACACTTATACAACAAGACTGCTCGTATCACGGCGAAGCCCTGAATGTTCCGACTGCCTTTTAAGGTTTAATGAGCAGCGGTAATACATAAAAAAAATTAAATGAAATAAATTAAAATGAAATTTTTTTTTAATTTGAAATTTTTGATGAAAATCATCCCCCCACACGCCATATAAAGTACAAAAAGATAGATTTTGTTCCTTGTAACAAATCAATTATGGCAAATAAGCTTCGTTCAATCAATTTGGAACGATTTATAAGACGGATTAAATCTCCGCTTACGCGGTAATAGCGCGAACTATATTGCGCGTTAATTGTC